GGGGGGGGGGAGCGGGGATGGAGTGACAATTTGCCTCCCCAGGGCTGGAGCGTGCCCTCTCCTTCCTCCCTGTGCACCGGTGTGTGTGGGGGGGTGGTGCAGCTCCCGCATCCCAGTTCCTGAGCCCTCCGCACCCTTCCCCAGCTCCCTCGGCCTCTCTGAGCCGGGGTGGGCTCCGCAGCATCCCCAGGCTCTGCACCCTGCCTTGCCCTGGGTGCCAAATCCCAGCCTGTCCTGTGGGCCTTTGGGACACCTGCAGAAGGCGTAAAGGACCCCCCCCCCGCCCCGCTTCCCCAGGGATCCCTGCATCACTGGAGCCAGGGCCAGACTGGGATCCCCTTTCACATCAGTACAGACTGGGGGGGCTGCTTCTCCTTTCGAAGGGACTTTGATGAGCGAGAAGAGGCCTTGGCAGAGGGGACTCCTCTCCTGGTGCTGGGCCGTGTCTCCTCCGCAAGCAGCCTGCAGGGACCCAATCCAGACGTCGTTTTGGAGGCGCTGCTGGCAGGGCAGGACGGGGGGCCTGGGGACCTGTGCTGCCCCCAAAATGGATCCAGGACATCCCTGCAGCCGGGGCAGGGCAGCTCCAAAGGCATCCCTCCCGCCTCTTCGGAGGCTTCCTGGGGCTGCGTGGTGCCGTGCCCCAGCGAAGTGTGGCCACCGGGGGACTGGGATCCCCCCACGCCAAACCTCAGCCTTTTCCCCACGAAACCTCCCCGGCACCCCTCCTTCCCAGAGCCTTGGTCCCTGCTCAAAGAGGGGGAGATGGGTTGGGGGGCTGGCGCTGGCTGGGGGAGAGAGCAAAGGGTCTCTTCAGAGGGTAAATGAGACATCTTTACCCCCCTTCTCCCCAACCCCTGCCTCTGTTTCCCTAATTGTTCCCTCCCTTTCTGATGCTCTATTGTTTCTAATTAAGAGCTTGACTTCAATAGGCCTTAAATGGTGATTCCTGGGGGTCCCCGGCTGGCAAACAGCAAATAGGGAGCGCTCCCCCTGCTTCA